ACGTAATTATGGTTTTCAGAGTCAGATACTAAGAAATTCTAGAGATCTAATAATATTTTCACTACCTCCTTCCAAGTCAAGTATGACTTCATAGTTCTTCCTACTACCCTCATAACAAATTAATACAGCTTGAGACTACCCACGCAAATTATTGATAAATCTACCCTCAGCCCGGGAGCGTAGGAGCCTTAGCGCAATATTTTCTCTTTTAATTTAGACTGAATTTGCGAGGCTTCGCAGTTTCAGGAATCTAGGAAAGAATAAATTAAAGTTTGATTTTAGTTTCATTATCAAAGGCTGTGCGGCTTCTTTTATTATACTGGTGTATAAATGTCTTTTAGTATTTCTACCGAACAAAAAATAGTTAGTTTCTTTAGAGCTGATGAAAAGTAGCATTATAGACATGAACGATAAATAAATAATTCTAAGAAAATGTGTTCAATGCTGGAAAGCCTTACCTTTTCACACCAATAGCTACATGATTTTGTTATTCACAAGTCTTCATTCGAACGTTATAATGTAATATAGGTGACAAATATCACTCCACCATTCACTTATTTTAATTTCCCTTTCCATAAAGAAATTCATTCATACTCTGCTATAAACCCCAATGCTTCATCGCCCCATAAAAAGAGCAGCCATTACATTTAATGGTGCAAGTACACTATGCGGGAAATTGATCGAGACGTATAATGTAAACACGCACTTCGGTTAGCTTCATTGTGCGTCGCCCATACTTCAGTGTGCGGGGCGCTTCGTTTCATTCAATTCCCCGCATAGTGTACTTGCGCCGTAACATTTTAGCGTCATAACAAAATCTAGGCACACCCCAGCAATACAGAAACGTGATGTAGATGAAAATCCAAAGTGATCATATGCAATCTCATCCCATAGACGCAAGATGAAGCCGTATAGCGCAGCGCTTTGGCTCGGTGCCTAGCCTAGGTATGAACAAGACGTGCAATCTACCGCAACATTCTTTCACATAAGCGGTGTGTGGTCCAAGGCATAAGATATAGCGGAAAATAAACGCAAGAAGTTTTTTTTTATGCTAGACAAGGCAGGTATTTGACCGCAATCGCAACTGGTGTTAAGTGAGATGCAACCTAGGATGGTACATATGGTAGGTAGCAGGAAGGCGCTGGACGCAGGCCGCTACCAACCGAGTAACATGGAAAGCATTGGAGGAGGCCTATGTTCAGAAGTGGACGTCTTATGGCTAAGATGATGACGATGATGATAATTATGATATTGTAGGTTAGAACTTTAAATACAGTAAATCTATTGAGATATTCATACTATACCCAATGTATGGCTTGAGTCACGAACATACAGGGTGGAAACGATAAGTGATCTCACTCGATTATTTCTAAACTATACAAGATATCCAAAAAATGGTTACTGATCCTGAAAGTGCTTCACGAGCTCTATCCAACAGTACCAATAATAGTTTACAAAATAAACTAGCTCTTTCAAACGATATCAGTAATAAATAACTGATCCAGTTAATTGTGTAACCTATTACTGATATCGTTTGAAAGAGCTCGTGAAGCACTTTTAGGATCAGTAATCAGTTTTTCGATATCTTGTATAGTTTAGAAATAATCGAGTGAGATCACTTATCGTTTCCACCCTGTATAAGTATTGTAACTACAACTCTGTGGTTCGCGTACTGGGCTACTAATATTACGCAGGATCTATTATTGTAAAATACATTGTTTGAAAACTATATTATGGAAAACATACGATTTAAGTGTTAACNTGAAGATTGAACGTACATAATTTTCATTGTAATTGGTCAAAAACTTCATTGTTTGTGTACAGATAAAAGAAAAATAACCATACCTATAGAAATTCCTAAACACATAGTACACCAGATAGATAAAAAACCATACAAAAAAACTTTGTGCAAAATGTGCACTATTATTTTTAAGATATTTATTTTTTCTTTAAAAATAATAATGACTAGTTAAAGTAGTAATTTCATGATTTTAATACAGTATACCACCACGTAATATGTGACTATTTTTAAATGAAACCAAAAATATCTAAATTTTAATAATTCCAAATTAAAATTATATTTATATTTATATTTTTATTTTTTAAAAACAAACAATATGTACTTAATTCTTTAAAAATATATTTAAAGAATTAAGAACATATTGTTTTAATCACATAGATAAACCTTTTTTTAAGGATACTACAAATAGTTTTAACCATAATATTCATGCCTGAAACTTAAAAAATGTTACAAAATACATGCTGGGACAAAATTGACCCAGCGGCGCTTTTAGGGGGGTCGTAATCTTCGGCACTTCTAGTGTTAATAAGCATCTAAGTAGCATTTATATTCCTGAAATTCTATAAAATATATAAACTGATAAACATTAAATAGCTATGCATGTAAGATCTAAGCAAGTCAAAGTTTTTCTTCAAGAATAAAATTACAAGATGGACCCTCATTTAAAAAAACTAGAAGAAAAATCAAAAGTATTTTTAAATTCACAAACGGACACGAGAAAATTGCATTGTTGTAATATAAAAATAAGAAGCTGGATGTTGATAAGCTCGGAATATCATTGCAGATTACAGATAAGAAACATAATAGGGCAGTTTAACTTTGTGTTGGAGTCCAGACAAATATGGCGATGGTCCAATTGATGAAAGGAAACTATTAAATGACAAAACGATTATTTTAATCGTATTATGAATCACTTTATACGTAGACTTTTGTCAGTCAACTAATTGCCTAGAATCAACGAAATGAAAAAAGACTGAAAATGATATTAAGTGCCTCATTAAACTAAGAGGCAGTTTCAGAACTGTAAGGATATCGTCTATTTACATAATTATGTGTTCCGGCAGTTAGAGGTAAGATAGCCAGTTCCTCCGTGGTTGAGGATTCCGGGTGAAGCTCGCTTCCACCTTCGGCCTGATCGTCACTTACCAACAGACCAAGAGCTTCCTCGTTGTGGATAAAAAAAACCTATTCCAGAGGTTCTATTGACAGGCTACCAATATCTTCGTAACAAAGTGGCCAAGGAAGTCGCATGACAAGCAAAAGTGTAATCATTGTTGTAGCAGTTAAGTTATTAGGCATGGTTATGTGCAGTTGTAACTGGTTCATAGATTTGAAGGTGATTTGTAGCTGTATCATTACTAAATAAGTAGTATTTTATACTGTAACTGTACCAGGTACAGTGGACCTATCTTCTTCTATACTTATAATAAATCTGTAGAGAGGTCAATTCTGTACATTAAATATATTTTCAAAATAACTATCAGGGGGTGATTAATGATCGATACTGATGCCAAAAATGCAATCAGTAAATTTTTTGTCTGTCTGTCTGTCTGTCTGTCTGTCTGTCTGTCTGTCTGTCTGTATGTTCCTTATAGAAACAAAAACTACTCGACGGATTTTAACGAAACTTGGTACAATTATTTTTCATACTCTTAGGCAGGTTATAGGATACTTAAGAATTCCCACGGGAACGGGAATTATCGGGAAAATCCTTTTGTATGAAAAATCTAAACCGCTTAAGTTAGACGCTTGAAATTTGACATGCAGGTACCTTAGTAAACTTAAAGCTTAGTTACAACAGGATATTGCAAAATTCCCACGGGAACGGGAGTTAGCGGGAAAAAACATTTGTATGAAAAATCTAAACCGCTTAAGTTAGACGCTTGAAATTTGGCATGCAGATACCTTAGTAAATTTAAAGCTTAGTTACAACAGGATATTGCAAAATTTTCACGGGAACGGGAGTTAGTGGGAAAAAACATTTGTATGAAAAAATCTAAACCGCGTAAGATAGACCCTTGAAATTTGGCATGCAGGTACCTTAGTAAATTTAAAGCTTAGTTGCAACAGGATATTGCAAAATTCCCACGGGAACGGGAGTTAGCGGGAAAAAAACATTTGTATGTAAAAATCTAAACCGCATAAGATAGACTCTTGAAATTTGGCATGCAGGTATCTTAGTAAACTTAAAGCTTAGTTACAACAGGATATTGCAAAATTCTCACGGGAACGGGAGTTAGCGGGAAAAACATTTGTATGAAAAAATCTAAACCGCGTAAGATAGACTCTTGAAATTTGGCATGCAAGTAGGGGAGACCGGGGATAGTTGACTAATTTTTTACTAAATCATACATAGTTTTTGTGTTTTCATGCATACAGACAAATAAATCGCATTAATGGATAGAAGAACTATTAAACTAATAAAAAACAACAAAACATAGTTCATTATTAAATATCTTCATCATATTTAGATGCATTTTATAGAACATCAACTCTTAGTCAATCTACCCCGGTTCCGGGGTAGATTGACTATATGCCCGGGGTAAGTAGACCTACGTATCAATAAGCAAGGAATTATGAGAAGAGTCAAGTAATAAAACACTATTTCAATTTAATTGAACTCTTTATTCAAAAACAATAAATTATAATCAAGTACAGACATTTTTAATAAGTCTTTAAAAAAACTATCAACTCTTAGTATTTAAACTTTTTAAACTAAAATCTTCTTCAGTCTCATTTTAAATCACATATCAATGTTTGTATACAGGGAGTCCCAGATGGGTGAATCAAACTGATAGGGGAGGTAGCTCTACTAATGTACTATCCCTAAAAAAATATGAAAAAAAAATATAGCGCATAAGGACACAATTTTTTTTTAAAGTGAAAATAAATCAGCTTTGCCTAAGTATCTGGCTATAATTGCTACGTTTGGAGTTTATTTGTACTTTTTTGTTACTAATATTAATTGTACATGATCGCTTCATTTAATTGTAAACAAACTTTTGAAAATAATGACTAGATTTGGAGTTTAGAGCACTATATTTAAAAAAAATCCGAACTCAATTTTCTTTTTCATATTTTTTTGGGATAGTACATTAGTAAAGCTACCTCCATTCTGTGACACCCTGTATAGTTCTTTTACGTTTCCGAGTATTTCTTCTATTATCTAAACGTGGCGCCGCTTTAGGAAAGGGTCTTATTTCTTCATCGTTCAGTTGTTCGTTTATTATCCTCATCGTGCTGTAGCAATAAAAAGAATGTATGTATTAAGAATCGAATAAATAGATAATTTTAAAGATATTTAAAAAGATATAACTCAAAATGTTATTGGGGTTGGTTGATTCAACCAGCCCCGAAAGAAATTAGTCTACCAACCCCAAACGACATTTTAAGTTTCGATGGCATGGATAACCTACACACTGCCACCTAATAAAGAAATAACACAAGAAATAATATCCATATGGTCTCATAAAACACTCTGACTAATAGGCAAACGGTTAACATAAAATGTGTAGGTACCAAATCAAAAAATATGCAACACGAAAATATTACTGACATGATATGAAAACAAATCACGGGTCACTACTCGAAAACGGCGTGTGCTGGCGACGAGGCGCTACCGACGACTGAGCGGGGGGCGAAAAGTGATGCGCGGCTGCCCTGGGATGATGCAATACTCAAACCGTTGGCGAGTTTTTGGCGATTAGTCTACCTACCCCTATAGGCAACCATCCCCGGTCTCCCCTACCNATCGATCTTACTCATGAGTAACTTGCTTTCTTCAGCTGGATGGATAACTTCATGGACCAAGAAGAGGACCTTTGACCACTTCCCTACTTCCCGAAGAGGTCAACCCGGGGAGGATGTTCGAGCACCTTCGGCTGCCCTCGGCTGCTCTCGGCCCAGAGGCGCGGGCGCGCGGCACCCGCGGCGATCAGCCGCTCACTTCACCTCACGCCACCGCAGACACCGCGCGCGCTCCCTTGTTTATAATTGCCAACTAAACTGTCATTAACGTAGTTTCTTTCAATAAACCTGTAATACAGTCCACTACGTTCTCATTTCATAAATTCCCGGTCGAGGCCCCTACAGTCACATTTATTGTGTATGTTAATCGTTTATTAGGAAATTAAATGTATTTTTCTTTAAGGATATTTATTGGGCTTTCAAATAACACCAATATTGTTGGGGCACCATGATTGTGTCAGTAGAAACGAGTTTTCCTGTAAAACGTAGGTGGGCCGATTTTTGTGATGACCAGTGTATTTGCAAACGTATAGCTTATTAATTAATTCCAGCTTGTTTTGGCTGGGAATCTCAATAAGTTACATACCTATACATTGTGGGTCGAACCACGAAAAGACGTTACTGATTTTTATCAATTTTACAGGAGCGACATTAAATTTAAAGAAAGTTTGATGTATGGAAAAAATGCATTTCGGGCCCTTTTTAATTGTCAATACTGGCTTCCTGACAAAGAATTCAGTTTCGACCTTTTGTGAGGTTATAATATGCACGTTTTTTAAAAAAATGGTGTGTTTAATTCAGTCTCGCCATTTTTTTAGATACGCCTTTTAGTGATTCGACCCACGACATTTCAACAGTGTTAGCAATCGATCAGCTGCCGATACTTACATCGAGATATGAGCAATATAATGCATATTGATAAGAACACCGCATACGTATGACGCATTCCATTTCACGTGACCTTCGATGCAGCCTACTGACCCGATTCCGACTGACCAATGGCACACCAGCTGTGTCAATTGGCCACAGATAACCAATGGTGGGCCTAGGCGTGGCGTGGCACACTGCCAGCTGCATCTTTAGCACTTGTTGATATTGTACTGTGGGCGGCTCAAAGGCAGAATTCTAGGAAGCCGTGACGTCATTGAAGTGGGACAGGGACAGGTGGTGAGATGACAGCAATAGTTGGAAATTCCTTCGTAGTTTTAGAGTATTTTCAAGTAGTTTCAAAACGGTCTTTCTGTGAAGGAAATTAAAACATTATTATTTTATTCTAAGTGGCCTTCAATTATCCTCTTGATTCCCTTTTATTAAGATATTGTAAAGTGCTGGAATAGTGATAATATTTATAAAATAATGTTAGGTAAAAGTTTCATAAATAAAGCCTAATTGAAAACTTCTCCTTTTTCAATTCAATTGAAATTTTCACTTACAATAATTTGAATTATTCTGAAATTCTGTGACACTCAAATTGATAAATAACGGTTGTAAACTACATAATTATGGTTTTCAGAGTCAGTAACTAAGAAATTCTAGAGATCTAATAATATTTTCACTATCTCCTTCCAAGTCAAGTATAACTTCATAGTTCTTCCTACTACCCTCATAACAAATTAATACTGCTTGAGACTACCCACGCAAATTATTGATAAATCTACTCTCAGCCCGGGAGCGTAGAAGCCTTAGCGCAATATTTTCTCTTTTAATTTAGACTGAATTTGCGAGGCTTCGCAGTTTCAGGAATCTAGGAAAGAATAAATTAAAGTTAGATTTTAGTTTCGTTATCAAAGGCTGTGCGGCTTCTTTTATTATACTGGTGAATAAATGTCTTTAAGTATTTCTACCGAACAAAAATAGTTAGTTTCATTAGAGCTGATGAAAAGTAGCATTATAGACATGAACGATAAATAAATAATTCTAAGAAAATGTGTTCAATGCTGGAAAGCCTTACCTTTTCACACCAATAGCTACATAATTTTGTTATTCACAAGTCTTTATTTTCGAATAAAGACTTGTGATGTAATATAATAATAATCGTTATAATGTAATATAGGTGACAAATATCACTCCACCATTCACTTATTTTAATTTCCCTTTCCATAAAGAAATTCATTAATACTCTACATAAACCCCATTGCTTCATCGCCCCATAAAAAGAGCAGCCATTACATTTACATATTTGAAGTTTACTTTCGAAAATTCCGACTGCACACCATTTTAATGGTGCAAGTACACTAAGCGGGAAATTGATCGAGACGTATAATGTAAACACGCACTTCGGTTAGCTTCATTGTGCGTCGCCCATACTTCAGAGTGCGGGCGCGCTTCGTCTCATTCAATTTCCCGCATAGTGTACTTGCGCCGTAACATTTTAGCGTCATAACAAAATCTAGGCACACCCCAGCAATACAGAAACGTGATGTAGATGAAAATCCAAAGTGATCATATGCAATCTCATCCCATAGACGCAAGATGAAGCCGTATAGCGCAGCGCTTTGGCTCGGTGCCTAGCCTAGGTACGAACAAGACGCGCAATCTACCGCAACATTCTTTTACATAAGCGGTGTGTGGTCCAAGGCATAGGATATAGCCAATGATATTAAAGAACTATAATATCATTGGATATAGCGGAAAATAAACGCAAGAAGTTGTAGGTAGCAGGAAGGCGCTGGACGCAGGCCGCTACCAACCGAGTAACATGGAAAGCATTGGTGGAGGCCTATTTTCAGAAGTGGACGTCTTATGGCTGAGATGTGATGATGATTATGTTGTAGGTTAGAACTTTAAATACGGTTATTGAGATGTTCATAATATACCCAATGTATGACTTGAGTCACGAAAATATAAGTGTTGTAACTACAACTCAGTGGTTCGCGTATAATGGGCTACTAATAACTAGAGTAGTCGCAGGATCTATCAAAGATGTGAGTAAAAATACTCATAAATAACTAACTATGCATGTAAAATCTAGGCGAGTCTAAGTTTTTCTTCAAGAATAAAATTACAAGATGGATTCTCATTTAAAAAAAACTAGAAGAAAACACAAAAGTCTTTTTAAATTCACAAACGGACACGAGAAAATTGCACTGTTGTGAAATAAGAAGCTGAATGTTGATAAGCGCGGAATATCATTGCAGATTACAGATAAGAAACATAATAGGGCAGTTAAACTTTGTGTTGGAGTGCAGACAAATATGGCGATGGTCCAATTGATGAAAGGAAACGATTACATGACAAAACGATTAATTTTAATACTTTTTTTTTATGTGACAAGAGGCAAACGAGCAGTCGGATCACCTGATGGTAAGTTATTACCGTCGCCCATAGACACCCGCAGACCCAGGGGCGTTACAGATGCGTTGCCGGATGCGTTGTATTATGAATCACTTTATATCTAAACTTTTGTCAATCAACTAATTGCCTAGAATAAACGAAATTAAAAAAGACTGAAAATGACATTATGTGCCTCATTAAACTAAGAAGCAGTTTCAGAACTGTTAAGATATCGTCTATTTACATAATTATGTGTACCTATTTCAGAGGTTCTACTGACAGGCTACCAATGTTTCCATTTTATTTTTTATTTTATTTATTTGGAAAACAAAACAGATTAAACAACTTCGTAACAACATGGCCAAAGGAGTCGCATGACAAGCAAAAGTGTAATCATTGTTGTAGCAGTTAAGTTATTAGGCATGGTTGTGTGCAGTTGTAACTGGTTCATAGATTTGAAGGTGATTTGTAGCTGTATCATTACTAAATAAGTAGTATTCTATGTACTGTAACTGTACCAGGTACAGTGGCCCCATTAATAAATAAACAAATAAATAAATCAGTCATGATTAGGGGACTTCTTAGCTACAATATAATCGCTTTGAACCTGTGACTTAAACCAATCAAAGAGATCACATGCACGCCATTTGTTTGGGTAAACTATGGTTTGCAGTTTTTATTATGAAGCTGGAGCGTCACCATCGTTATTTTATTCCCTAGCCTTCGTGTAAAGAACTCTGAAACAATTTGAACGTGTTACAATGTATTCTGTTTTGAAGGAGATGTTTGCACGTTTGAAAACGAATGGTTGGATCTATTCAATGAAATTTCTCAGTTACTTACAAGCGATTTTGGTGCAACGTATGATAATATGGAAAATCTGGATTAGCATTTTATGAGTCAGAAAAAAATATAAAATGATCTTATTATAATAAAGTAGCTGTGAGTAAAGTTCGTTCGTTCGTTCGTTTCATCCAAAGACGTCCACTGCTGGAGAAAGGCCTCTCCCAAGGATTTCCACAAAGACCGGTCCTGCGCCGCTCGCAAATTACTTTTTGCCAATCTTATTAATATTCATGCAAATATTTTCAATACTTAATTTCGTTTGCAAAAATAAATTGGATAAATACTTACTACAACGGGTTAAGACAACACACAAAAACTTTTAAAACAAGTAAAAAAGGTATACCTTCCTGACGTTTCGATTCGGTTGCAGTGAAAATTTATCAAAAAATGCAACATTAAAGATAATACTATATTTTGGACAGCAAGGTATTATAACAAAAAACTGAAATCCATTGCACGTGATTTGAATTCACCCCAAACTGCGTCACATCAAAGGGTTTGTTCGAACAAAACGTCCATAGTTTAAATCTGCAACAATATTCGTTTTAATTAACATCGGACTCGAATGTTCGAACAAAAGGCAGCCGAATATCCGCTCAGGGGTGACAGTGGATAAATTACACGTCACGGTGTGTCCAGGACTGTTCGACGCGCTAACGATGTACGAGTCTTAAACAATAACTCGACTGGTATTACACAGAGGCAATATTGAGACGATATTTACGCGGTGATCGACGCGACGTGTACTTAAGTCTCGGTCGGTACTCGGTCTTAAACCACGTGACTCGCTTAGAGAAGTTTTTAAAGAAATCAATATTATNCACCACAC